TTCACCATTCCAAACCAAGGGTGTGCACAAAACAGCTGTTCTAGCAATAAATTAGAAGCATGGGAACTATAAATTTACCCAGCTCACTACACTCTTGGCTGTGGCATAAACAACTGTTTCAGTAATGAGGCTAAAAGGAGGCTCTAAGCTTAGTCTTGAAAGGCAGGTTTTCTTCCTCTTGGGGGGGAGGGGGGGATATTGAGGTGGTTGTGTGGTTTTGAGTTGGAACTAGTTTCTCAGTGATTAGTTATGGTATTGTTCTTGTGAAAAAGGAAAGCTTGGAGAAAGGTATATCCTACTAACAGTTGTTGGAAAATTTACTGATTTGGCATTTACCTTTTTATTATCACAGTACTAACGGAAGTGTATCAAAACACGTTGAAAATTTCTGATTATGTGCCAGTGTAAGCAATGAATTGATGTATAATTAATTATAGGAGAGAAATACTATAAATTTAAAAGCCCTGCATTTACACAGTGTGTTGCATGGCAAGATCAAGTGAATGGTCAGCCTGACAAAGTGTTATGCAAGGTCTTGTATGGCAAAGAGCTCAAGGGATTTGAGATAGCTTCGTTCGCTTCCTGGCCTGTTTGTAAACTACCAAAATGGCTGCCAACTTAGAGCCGCAAGACATATTTCATCAAATCATTCTGTCTTTGTTAGTTAGTGTGTGTGTGTAGTATAGAAATTGTCTGCATCAGTTTTGAGCCCCTGTTACAATCCCAGTCAGGAAAGTAAGTCATCTCTCTTGTTTACAATAGGTGACAGGTTCATTGTGTGGTGAAACCGTTCACCGTGAGCCTTTTGGGCTGGGGTGCAATGCTCTGTGCTGTGAAGCTCATGTGAACAGGAGGGTAGGATTGATGCCAACTGTGAAAATTTTTATTGATTTTTGCTTCCCCCCTCCAAATTGGGGACCTTTTTGTTTTATCCAAATAAAATGTTACTCAAATGCACACTAAATTATAAGTAAAAAGCTTAGATTTAAATTGTTGTTATGTTGGTTCAGTCATTGTTTATCATACAACCACAAAAAAAGGTGAAAATAAAATAAAATAAAATAAAATGGTCAGTTTTGGAAGGTTCTAGCTCAGTATGCATGGCACACAGATCTCCTCACATAATCTAAACTACAGGCTGTCCCATATACCCATTCGTCACACCCACTTATACTAGTCACTCAGTTATTTGGAGTGTGCTAGGCCTCTGCTCTGGGGAATATGCATGGCCAGCTGGATCAGTGGATCACACTCACAGCACCACACCTACAAAGTGATATGAATTTGATATGGTAAACAGGCAGTACTCAGAAATGGCTCATTGGTGACTTAGTACAAATGTAGCCATCTATGTTTAAAAACAATTAAACAAGTAAACTCACAGTGGGCATGGCATACACGTACACATCATGCCCATTGGCATTAGGTTAATTTTAGTTGCTAGATAGAAGAAGTAGTAGCCTAATTAAGTGAATTAGAGTCCTTTTCAGTAAATTAGGTGTGTTGTATTGTGTTAAAAAAAAAACAGTTTTCCTTCACATTCACAAATATTTGCCTTCATATTTGCAATTGTTATTCTTAAGAAATAAAAAATTGTCTGCAGTTATATACAAGACTATTATTCCCATGACTTCAATACTTCCCTTTTGTGTGTCATTCTTCAAGAGAGTCACACTGGCAGAGGGTCATATGACAAAGTGAGTAGTAGACATGGAGAGACTGATAATGTAAACTAGAGTGAAGGTTACTTACAGGTCATAGCAGCTGCAAGAGAATGCATTGTTTTGGTATATGAGACTTTTAGGGAATAGCAGGTGAATTATTAAAGTGCTAAATGTTACCATTTTTGTACAAAACATTAGCCAATTAGAGCATTACACTTCCCATGCTCCCTAGGGAAGTGCCCCAGGCATTTCATGTGTGGGTGTGAGGATATTTCACAAGGAATAGTTTAAAATGCAATGTCCCATGAAATACCTGCCCTTCAATTCCACGACCAAGTCAGCCATGACAGGAGTAGCAGTCATCAGGAGCCATGGTCAAGTCAGCCATGCCTTGAGTCATATGCCATCTAGAGGCGTGATTCACTCACTCGTTCTTTTCACCATTTCTTCTCAGAAACCTACTGACCCATTCTGCTTTGTGATTCCACTCAGTCATTGGACATTTGCTCTTTCTAACCAGTCAATCCATTCATATATTTAAATTTTTTTTTTTTATGAATTACACCTTTCATTTCCTTTTAATTAATGCGTTTATTTCTCCTTCAGTTGGTAATGGAATACTGCTTAGGATCGGCTTCAGACATCATAGAAGTTCACCGTCAACCCCTTAGAGAAGAAGAAATCAGTGCCATTTGCGAAGGCTGTCTCTCTGGCCTTGCATATCTGCATTCTTTGGGGAAAATTCACCGTGATGTCAAAGCTGGAAATATTCTACTTACTGAAAATGGCACCGTCAAACTGGGTATGTATATTCTGGCTAAAATTTTATTAAGATATATTAGGAATGAACTTTTTTTATTTTCTTGTCATTGCAGAAGCTGTTGTAACATTTTTTTCCTTTCTGTTATCTTGCTATCAGTCTTTCATTCTTTCTTTCTTTATAATTATTATTTTTTCACTCTTCCATTGTATGGTGGCTACATGCATAGTTTGCTGTTGTTTTTTTCTTTCTTAATTTCTTATGCATGGTTTCACAAGTGTTTAGTCATAAAAGAGTGACAAAATTGATAGTTGACATAACATACTCAAGCAAAGAGATAAGACGAGTATATCGGGCGTCAGTTGGGGAGACGAAGGGGGGGAATTCCTCCTGTCAAGACTGTGTTTGCTGCCCCTCCTCAAGGTCTGGCTTGCCCCATCCCCCAAGGGCTTGACTTCTTTTTTTTATTTATTTATTTATTTTTTAATGATATTATACCTATATATGTCCTGTTATAGCTTGAAAATGCCCCTAAAATTGCTAATTTTTCTAAATTTTTGTTTGTTTCACCCCCCCTTCCCCCCAAGAAAAAAATGAAATGATGCCCCTGAGGTATATGGATTTCATATTATAAAAAATGTATAATTAGTTAGAATTTTGTAAATGAAAAGCATTAGAGTTAAGCAAAGAGTTATTGGCAGGAAAATCTATAATGAAGAGTAGCTGTAATGGAGTTCCAAATTATTAATTATTTTGTATTGTAGTCAGATTTACTGTGATATTCTATTTTAAGGGAACTATCCTGCAGTGGTTGGGAGGAATTAGTATTTTAGCACAAAAAATTTACAATTTTACAGATGTTTTGCTAAAATTCCTGTTGCCCACATTTTGCAACCAAATTTTTGGGGGGCACCAGAATAGGGAAATGCTTACTAGCCTTTTTTTGCATGCAATATTTGTACATTTATACTGGTGTGTTAATGAATATACATGTGTGTAGATATATACACATGTAAATGTATGTAGATTGATGTATTAAAGTATACAAAGATTCTTGTGAACACAGAGGTACTTGTGTGTACATGTGCGTATGTGGATATATAGGTGTACGTGGATATAAATATGAAAAAAAATTTAAGTGAAGCTCATGTGTGATAGTTATCTTCTGGTTTTTAGTCCCATCTGCCTGAAAGCATCACCAGGTGCCACCCAATATTTTGTCGTTAGGTTTGGGGGCTTATAATTCACTGGCATCAAAATGTTTATGATCTCAGTATTCAAGTGAAATCATTGTCTTGTTGCAAGACCAGCCTGCATCTCTCTCCATCAAAGCTAGACATTTTCAGATACTTTAGACTTTCTCAGACTGATATCAATTGGAATGTCATAATTGAATGTTTCACTTTACTCAGAAAAGGCTATATTGTACAGTAAGACCATATGGCCTGTGATGGTCTAATGGGATAATCACGTTCCAATCTCCCCTTCTCTCTTTTGGGTCTTTTTTTAATATGCTGAGCTGTTGAATAATAGGTAGAATTTTAGGGATTGTCAAAGTATGATTTTGTAACTGGCTTTGTGTATACTGGAAATGTGAAATTGCATTTTTTTCATGTATTCATTATTTTTTCCAGCTGACTTTGGTAGTGCAAGTATTGCATCACCGGCCAATAGTTTTGTCGGGACACCATATTGGATGGCTCCAGAGGTAATTCTAGCTATGGATGAAGGACAATATGATGGAAAGGTAAGCATTGCATAACATTTACAAAACCTCTTTTATTTTGCATGGTTTCTCTTAAATTCCTGATACAATTTATTCCTGAATCAACATGCCAAGTTTTACTAAAGATTCCTTGAATTGATGTCTTTTTTTATATTACCATCTTCTCATTATTTATTCATTACTTATATTCATATTATAGGACATATTGGATCAGTATTGAATATTTTATATAACATCGTTTTTTGTGTCTTTTAAGCTAATGTAATTCTTTTATTTTCTTTTGACAATAGGTAGATGTGTGGTCCTTAGGCATCACATGCATAGAACTAGCTGAGCGCAAACCGCCCTATTTCAACATGAATGCCATGAGTGCCTTGTACCACATCGCCCAAAATGTTGCCCCCAAAATGTCCTCCCCAGAATGGTCAAAGGAATTCCAGCATTTTGTTGAGTCATGTCTGCAGAAGAACCCACCTGATCGCCCTACCTCTGCTAGGCTTTTGTCGGTAGGTACAGAGTGCAATTGGAATTTGTTACGGACGCTTTTGATTCAGATTGAAAAGTGGGAATTATAGGTACAAGTGATAGAGACAGTCAGAGGAGTCTTAGTCCACACATAAATGATATATGAAAGCAATGGCAGAAGAAAGGTTCACAAAGTCACATGTAGTAATAAGTTCTCTGTGACTCAGGGGGTCTCCTTTGTAAATAGTAATAATTGTTGGAATAGTTTTGTTACATTGCTCCATTATGACTGTCTGTTAATCCACTGATGACAAGAGGTAACCAAGTGAATAACTGTTAAGTATTTCAACCATTTCAACCTGACACAAATGGGGTAATGGTGGCAGATTTTGAAATTCCCTTCCTGTTTTCTTGTAGCATGTTTGCCATTTTATTTTACTTCTGTATTTACTTAGTTATTAGTTTATTTATTTATTTATTTATTTTTGTCACAAATGGATACATCTCTCATTTTTTCAAAATTAAAAAAATATGTCACTGACATGCTCATATTGTTATACATTTTGTAATGACAATGACAACAATATCATAGTAATGTGCATACTTAAGGCATAGTTGTTTGTTTGATTCAGGGAAATAATTGCTGGTTACATTAAGACCATGCACAGAAGACTTGAGATAATCCAATCTAGGAAATGTTAGAGGTGGGAGATGTGTCCAAATAAAATACCCATGATAACCATAGACGCAGACCACTCAGCAAAACAAATCTAGGACAAGCCAAAATATGTGAAGGTTCCTTCTTACATGTTGAGAACATGTAAACAGTGGGGTAACTGATTGGCTATGGGTTAAGATGACGGTGCTGTTAATTGCCAAGAGTGGGAATAGTAGCTGGCTCCTATGTGGCACATGTTCTCTGGCTCATTGATAGGACATTAACCCCATTTTGTGTTTGAGCATCGTCAGACATTTGTACATAGACTCATATCCACCACTCTCTACCACAAAGT